GCCACCACGGTCTTAAACATGAAATTAGACTGACGAGGACGAGAGAAATAGACATTTGGTTTGGTTGTTGTTCAACACAATGGGCTATCTGTGCTGTGCCCACCACGGGTATAGAAACTCGCGTTTTGGCGTCGTAAGCCTGCAGACTTACCGCTAAACCACTGAGGAGGCGAGTGTTAGGTTAGAGATTTGTGAAACTGTGATATGTAAGATATCTGAGTTTTTAAAAGTCAAGTTTTTATCTCTTATTTCTGACTTAACATTATGTCTAGTAGTACAGTTATTGTAAATCATCTTAAGGATTAGGTTTTTTTTTCTTCTGGTTCTTTTTTCCCAATTCATTATTATTGCTATCATTATTTTCTGATTTTGATAGCAAAACGTTGCTTTATTGTATTTGTTTTTGGAGAATGAGTTGTTTATCTACAAATTTCTCACAAGGCACTCTTTTATTAGTGTTTAATATTTGTGTTTGATAAATCTCCTATTTTTCGTATCTTCTACTGTAATACAGGGTTGTTTATGTACCTGCTAGCCCTATTTTTCGTATCTTCTACTGTAATACAGGGTTGTGTATGTACCTGCTAGCCCTCTAGTTAAGATGATAAATCTCCTATTTTTCGTATCTTCTACTGTAATACAGGGTTGTGTATGTACCTGCTAGCCCTCTAGTTAAGATATAATTATTTTCAAAATGATTGTGTTTTTCAGAGTTCTCATTTTGGAGACATTGGATCAAAATAACACTTTAACTTTCCTTATTTCATGAGCACATAAAATGTGGGTTAGCTTATAATCAATTAACTGACTTTCGTGCAGAAATGGAACGATATATTTTCTGTCGACGAATCGGATAAGGATTAGAGGCAGTCGCGCTCAACAGCTCAACTCTCAGTGGACACATATCTTGAATGTGAGATGCGTTTCGCGTGCAAACTTGGCTTTGTTCGTTTTTTATTATTATCAAAAGAGCCAGGTTTGTCCATGTAAGAGAGGGATGAATATTGTTTATTTCTTTTGTAAGTAAGAAAAAAACCTTGGATTTTACTTTCATTTTGTTTAAGCTTAACTTTGGGTCTTTATATTATAAGCCTTAGTTTAAGCTATAATTTTACTCTTACTCTTATCACACATACGTCACTAAATATTTATCTTTGTTTTGTGACTTATTGTTTTCATGAACGGACGTTATTTTTGTACTTGTTGAACTATTGATATTATGAACGGACGTTATTTTTTGTACTTGTTGAACTATTGATATTAGGGTTTTCTTCCTGCTGTAAATGGAGAGATCATTATACTCTGTAGTCCGGTATTCTCCGGACTTCGAGTTAGTGGGCCTAACTAACTGCTCTGCGGGAAACCGTTTTACCTGGAATACTATAATAGCAACGTCGTTATTTGATATATTACATTCTCATACGAAAAGTGTTGAAAACCATAAACCGTTTTACAGGAAATATTGCAATAGCAACGTCGTTATTTTATATGTTATGAATAGTGTTGACAACCAGAAACCGTTTTACAGGGAATACTACAATAACAACGTCGTTATTTTTTTTTTTTATGTTACATGCTCATATGAAAGGTCTTGACCAATCTCACCTATCACAGTTTTTGCAAAAGATGCATTTTTTAGAGTTGCTAAGCCTAAGTCCCCGATCTTCACAGAACCAGTAGGACCAGTTATGAAAATGTTATCACACTTGAGATCTCGATGGATAATTGAAGGAGACCGAGAGTGAAGAAAGCTCAAACCCTTCAGAATTTGTCGACACCACGACTTCAAAACTTTCAGGTTGATCTTTCTAAACCTACGAAGATAACTGTAAAAAAGAAAAAAAATAGCAGAGTCCAAATTACTGATGAAAGAAAGAGCATGAAATAAACAACCAAAAATTTAATAGAATAAATATAAAGTTTAAACGCAGATGCTTTATTACAGAAAAAATAAAAATGTCTTTAATATTAATTTATTTATATTATATTTTCCTTAATAAAAGATAAATAACTTCTGAGATAAGAGTAAGAATATAGTGATATACGCAGTGAGTTAAAAACAGTGTCATGGTTTTTACTTAAAGAGACACTAGTTATAGTTTTTAAATATATTAAAATGGGACACACAAGACTCACGTTCAACCTACGGACGTGTTAAATCATATCTCACACGAGACCCACGTTCAATCTACGGACGTGTTAAATCATATCTCACACGAGACTCACGTTCAATCTACGGACGTGTTAAATCAGATCTCACACGAGACTCACGTTCAATCTACGGACGTGTTAAATCATATCTCACACGAGACTCACGTTCAATCTACGGACGTGTTAAATCATATCTCACAGTGAGATATGATTTAACACGTCCGTAGATTGAACGTGAGTCTTGACAAGACTCACTTTCAATCTACCTTTTCGCTCACCACAGTTTAGCATGTTTTCTTGTCAGTTGTTAGGTTTTCTAAATATATATCATACAGTTTTCATCATTTAAAACTCACGTTGTTGATATTATTACAACACGTTGATACTTTCTTTGTGTGGTTTTTATGTTGTGCACTACATGGTAACATCGTACAATACGGTAATTTCTGTTCTATTGACCTTCTGTTACTGAACACAAGTATTTATGTTCTATTTATCTTCTGGTACTGAACACAAATATTGTAATTTCTGTTCTATTGATCTTTGTGCCTTCACAAGGATCTTGACAACTGATTTAAGACAATCAGTTGATATCTATCATGTTTAAAAACATTTTATTTTTCTGAGAAATTTAAATTCAATAACACAGACTCTGAGTTATCCAACAATTATGTGTTATTTTGAGGTGTTGTTGAAGTGATTGTAGAAATATTCTGAATGAAGATTGTTGGGCTCGGGACTCTACTAGTTCGTATAGAAGAAGCTGTAGAATGTGATTTGCGTTTTGTGTAAGAACTGGTTGTTGTTTTTAAACACAAAGCTACACAATGGGCTATCTGTGCTCTGTCCAGCACTGGTATCGAGTCGCAAACCTACAAAATTTATCGCTGAGCCGCTGGGGAGCTTGCATAAGGAAAGAACGACAGGAAACGTTTCTCTGAATTTTTGAGGTCAGGTAAAGGTATGAAAATAATGTATATAAGTATTGGTCATTAGGTTCTTTGCCGGTCTCAACTTTGAGAGACTTGCAGTCAATATTCAAGTTGAATAAATCTAAGTGGAACAAAAGTTGTGGGAAAAAATTTAAGAACAGTAAGATTAAAAAGGTCTGAAAATAAAAAAGGATAGAAAAAAACACAAGAGGGCGTACTGAGTAAGGATAATAGGCAAACCTCTGGTGAAACTTCTATAACATTGCAAGAACGGCGCTTTGTCTGTGATGATTCATCGAGTAAACGTCATTGACAAAACTCAGGTGATACGATTTTACAAGATATGGTTTTACTGACAAAACTCAGAAGATATGATTTTACTGACAAAGCTCAGGTGATACGATTTTACAAGATATGGTTTTACTGACAAAACTCAGATACGATTTTACAAGATATGGTTTTTCTGACAAAACTCAGGTGATATGATTTTACAAAATATGGTTTTACTGACAAAACTCAGGTGATACGATTTTACAAGATATGGTTTTACTGACAAAACTCAGAAGATATGGTTTTACTGACAAAACTCAGGAGATACGATTTTACAAGATATGATTTTACTGACAAAACTCAGGTGATATCGATTTTACAAGATATGGTTTTACTGACAAAACTCAGGTGATACGATTTTACAAGATATGGTTTTACTGACAAAACTCAGGTGATACGATTTTACAAGATATTGCTTTACTGACAAAACTCAGAAGATATGATTTTACTGACAAAACTCAAGTGATATGATTTTACTGACAAAACTCAGGTGATACGATTTTACAAGATATGGTTTTACTGACAAAACTCAGGTGATATGATTTTACAAAACGCTGTTTATCATTCTAAGTGTCGTAGTTTAGTTTATTCAAAGGGAAACCTGGAAAATCTTTCAGAAATGCCGGATGAGGAACAAAGAAAGCTGAAAGGTTTAGCTTTGACAGTGTGGTTCCAATGTAGAAAATGGGCGTAGAGGAAAGCCTAAATTTGCTGAAATGCAGTGCACTGCGTTATGTAAATGTATTGGAGATTGCGTACTGGAGAATTAGAAAAGTCATATTTTCTGTATTGAAAAGTGTCTTTGATGTCTTTAAAGATTGGTGGTCATTTTTGGATTGAATTTAGGTGGCGTTTTAATTGAAAATGATCAGATATCAATACCCATTTCATTACACATAGCCTAATGATTTCACCAAAAGTAAACATTGTTATCACCATATTTATATACATTTAAAAACCATGGGAGCCATTTTGCATCGAATTAAAGTTGTTATATATATGGAAAAGTTTGTTCATAGCATGTTCCTCATTATACATAAGTTCAAACTTTTATCTTGGTAGCAATCTTGACCTTTTTGAGACAAATTTCAACTGAAACTTTCTGTCTCTGATATGGCAGCTATCATGGCTTGTTTACAGCATAAACAAGTAAACTACAACCTTGCTTATACAGGTGGGTCTATACCTGGAAATACCAGTATTACCATACCTACCATGATATCATGTCGGCCATCTTGGATTAAATACAGGTGGGTCTATATCTGGAAATGGATATAGACCCACCTGCATTTCATCCAAGGTGGCCGACATGATATCATGGTAGATATGATAATACTGGGTATTTAAGATATAGACCCACCTGCATTTCGTCCAAGATGGCCGACATGATATCATGGTAGGTATGGTAATACTGGGATGATAATACTGGCCATTTCCAGCCTTATCAGTTATACTTTTTTACAGATAAACTTTATAAACATACATAACATAAAACCTACGTTTTATAAGGAAAGAATAATTTAAACTTCTGGATCCCATCGATATGTCTATAAAACTGGACAATACATACTCGCTTTGTGTTGAAAAGTTTCCCTGAATGTATAGTTTCGGGTAAATTAACATATAACTGGTGACTTTTAAAACTTACAACACAATAAGTTCTACCACTCCTAGTTTCTGTGGTTGTATCCTATTTTAGAACATCGTTTTAACAATAAAGAAACATAAATTCTTATATCCGATGTTTTTTCTCTGATGGTAATTTGTTTTTCAGAAATTTCAAAATCTAAACTGTACCACACAATGAAGATTATGCACAATGGGTTGAAAGCTACCTAAACCTTCTAGTCAGTGCTTACGTTTTAAGGGTTCCAGAAGTCATCAGTTCTGTGATAAGGACTATGTATTTCCACCTCAGTAAAAATATAACTGATAAGATATATAAGCCTCTAGTCAGTGCTTACGTTTTAAGGGTCCCAGAAGTCATCAGTTCTGTGATAAGGACTATGTATTTCCACCTCAGTAAATCGACTTCCCAGTAGTCATAGAAACGTACAATATTAGGATGTTGAAGACCCTTTAACATTTCCGCTTCTTCTCGAAACCTCTGGCGTGTACTTTTCTTCAGTCTTTCCTAAGAGAAAAGAGCAAATAACTTATATACAAAGATAAGCAAACTTGGGATGAAATGGGTTAAAAAAAATGAAACACTGCATAGACATTAAGCAGAAAACTTCAAACTAAAAAGAAACCTAACACATTTTTTGGGAAAATCATTTCGAAAAGAAATACATTCGTGCTAATAACAACTTTCTGTACTTCACTGGTTGAGTTGATGTGTTTCATGTATGGTAAAATATCAGAATGTTAAGAAATATTTCCAGACTGAAGAACTACAGCAGCTGGGTTAAAAACAACCTTCGACACTAAATAACTCAACTCATCCAAAGGTCATCATATAAAACGACATGATCCATAGTTTGTGATAAAGAAAGTTCCTATAAAAATCTTTATGAAAGTTACAAGTCTCAACTTGTCTTTGAAGAATGAAAGTTCATATAATATTTTTTCTTTAAAGTTAATATATATATATTTATATATTTAAAACAAAAAGAAGATTTACTTTACGTCACCCGGTGGGACAGCGCTAAGTCTACAGATTTACAATGCTATAAAAAACCAACACACACACTCTCTCATAGTCATAATATACCACTGATTGTCTACTATAATGTCGGAAGTAATTGATTATAGCATTAAAATGTTTGATAAAATCCGCGGTTTGCTTCCCCGTTGTGTACAGATTATTGGGCTTAAACATAAAAAAATACAGAAAAACATTGACATTAAAAATAGTATCTTAAGATGAACGTCAGTTAGTTGATTGTATTGTTTTATTGATATTACTTTTAATGTTAAGATGAACGTCAGTTAGTTGATTGTAATGTTTTATTTTGATATTACTTTTAATGTAATATCAATAAAACGTTACAGTCAACTAACTGACGTTCATCTTAACATTAAAAGTAATATCAATAAAACAATACAATCAACTAACTGACGTTCATCTTAACATTAAAAGTAATATCAATAAAACAATACAATCAACTAACTGACGTTCATCTTAATATTAAAAGTAATAACAATAAAACAATACAATCAACTAACTGACGTTCATCTTAACATTAAA